ATTCTGACTGAATTTCTCTAATGGTTTGACTTAACATTTCATCTTCACTATCATAGATTATATCAGACAATCCATCCGGTTTAGAGATACTTACCTGAGAATACATGTCTGCTGAGAAGGGTTCATTTTCTTCCTCAGCTTCTTCTGCAATAGCCATAAAGGACCTATGTACAGTCACTTCATCATCATCATCTCCTTCATCTTCACTTCCACTCCAAGTGGCAGTGAAAGCCTTGTCCTTTTTGAGTAACGGACACTCTGCTTTAATATGGCCAGATCTCCCACATTTGAAGCACCCTGTAGTGTTTATCCCTCTTAGACCCTGTGGATTGTCATTTCTCCCTTTGGTAATTGACTTCGACTGACCTGCCCTCGAGGCCCCTTCATTTCTTTCAGATTCTTTAGACTTCAAACCACCCATCATTTTCTCTTTTCTAAATCTAATCAGTCGACTAATCTGCTTACTAAGCAGGGCTAATTCCTCATCTTCCATGTCATCCAGTTCTTCTGATTCTTCTATAGAACTGATTGCCTTGAAGGCAATTCCTCTTTTCCCTTTTTCAATTGAATCCTTTTCTGACCCAACCTTCAATAACTTGTCTTCATGAGTAGTCAGGGATCCAATCAGTTCGTCAATCGCTAGCTTTTCCAGGTCTTTGGCTTCCTCGATGGCTGTAACCTTTGGAGTCCATTTTTCTGGTAGACACCACAGAATTTTCCTTACAAGGTCTCCACTTTCGTAGGTTTTGCCGAGATTCTCTAGACTGTTTACTATGTTAGTAAACCGCTCGTACATCTATCGAATTGTTTCTCCTTCCTCCATCTTAAACAGCTCGAATTGGTGCTTGAGTGAATTTATCCTGGAGGTCTTGACTTGGGAAGTTCCTTCATACGTCACTTGAAGCTTGTCTCAGATTTCTTTAGCCGTTTTGCAACCCGCTACCTTGTGATATTCCTCTGGACCAAGAGCGCAATACATCAGATTGGTGGCTTTGCAGTTTTGTTGAAATTTCTCATAATCTTCGTCATTCCACTTTTCTTGATCTGCCTTGAGCTCATAAGAACCTTTGATTACTCTTGCCCACAGCTTAGGGTCTGTCGAACCTACGAATAGTTCCATCCGGTTTTTCCAGTAACCGTAGTTGACTCCTTCGAACCTAGGTGGTCGATTTTGCGAAAAACCATCGGCCAGATAGAGTGGAGCAGCACTTGAGGATCCTGACGCCATCCTGGATCTCGCCTAAGGTTGTATAACCTTCCTTGACCAGCGACTAGCTCTGATACCACGTGTTGGCGTCGAGCGCGAGATGCCTACTCGGCTGTTCGTCTCCAAATCCTGCTAACCTGAAACCCTAATTCGATCTTTTGGTAGAACAAGTGAGAAGGTGAATTGAAAATAAAAGTACAGTAGCAAAACAGACAATTATAGGGCTTCTTTGTTTAGTTGACAATCAAACAGCCTTGGGCCCGAAACTAAAGCCCACTTCAGTATTTTACTCTGTTGGTGGTTTTCTCCCAAAGTGAAGCGTTTTACTTAGAGTCTGCAACTTAGATTGATTAACCAAGAATTTCGTTCCCCTGTTTCAGCAGTTCTTCGCAAATCTGCAGAATAACAAGAACACGAACCGAACTGAAAGTAAAGAGCAGAAACAGAGAACACAGAACCTTTTACGTGGTTTCCAGTATTGGGTTAAAGATGTTCCCAATACTGACTACTCCACGGACGGATAATCACAGTGTGTGATTTCCGACAATTCACTAGGATTTTGGTTTGTAGCTCCGAAACAGAGAAGACTCTTTTTTGTCGAGATCACTCTTCCTATCCAGGCTGACTGATCTGAACTCTAACTTTCACACACCCCAGCTATCCAGCTTCCCTCAAGTACAAGAACTCTCCAGTCCTATACTCAAGCTCTTTTCTTATCAATCACACCTAACAAACTCCTTTGTTCTCTCGTGATCTTGATCTCCAGAAAAGTGCTTGATCTGTAACATTCCCTTCTTTCTTATACTCAATCCGCTAGTAGCCGTTGCACCAGAACTTCCATTTCTGGTTGATCTTGATATGGTATTCCTTTTTGAATAACTTCCTTGTTTTGATTTCCAAATCACTTCTCCGATTTCTTCTCCGATTTTGTATTGCACAATCAGCTCCTATTCTTTTGACAAGCTGTCCTCAACAATGTCATCATACAAAATATTAAAAACAAAATTAATCCAAAATTAAATATTTTTTCCTAAATCTTATTATTTATTATTTTATCTAATAACAAAAATAATTAAAAACACCAAAAAGACTCACCGGAGACCCGATCGGGAACTAGAGATCTGAATCCGAATTTATAAAACAAGAATCCGAATTTAATTTAGGGGAGTCCACTACTCTTCATATTTAGCTGTCGTGGCGTCGGGCGATGACGTTCGCCAGGAAGGTGAACTGGTGAAGGCCGTCGAAGACGGGAAGGACGGCTGGGTTTTCAACGCCGATGAGAGGGATTCAGCTCTTTGGAAACAACAAAAAAATCCAAGCGGAGGACGAGGTGGATCACCAAGAAATCCTGCGTTGACGAACTCCCGAAAAAGCTGCAATTGTACGCGTAGAGGCTGCGTAGTTGTTGCTAGTTCCGGGATCCTCTAAGAAGAGAGGGAAGAAAAGAATTGGTTTCTAGGGTTGCGAGTAAATTCGTAGACAGGGAAGAATCAAGCACCAAAAATTGAGGCTTGGTGGCGAAGTGGGAACTAGGGATATGGGATGCAGCACAGAAAGGATGAGGGTTGGGATTAGGGCCGGAAGTTTGGTACCGGTATTTGGGATATAGCGAATACCGTACCGAATTTGTCTATATTTGGTATTACCGAATACACGTATTATTTTGTGGGATTGGGATTGGGATTGAATTTCAATTGTTATTTGGTATTAGGGATTACGGGATTGGGATCGGTATATACCGAAATACCGATCAATACCGAAATATAAGCTAGTGTGTATTTAATCCTCTCAACTAGACTCTCTCATTCACTACTACGCGACCAACAACCACCAAATTCGTCATTTAATTATTCATAGATCATTATATCACTATTTCACACTAGTATTAGTCGTCTCTCAACCTCAAACTCGTCAAATTAAAGATTATCAATTACAAGAATTTGAGATGTTAGCTCTAGGCAACTCAAGACTATTTGCTTAGTCTCTTTGCCCTAAATTAAACAATAAAATCTAATTTATATATTTAATTATTAATTGTAAAGGTAATTAATTATGTATTCGATAATACCGATTGGGATACCGAGGTACCGATTGGGATACCGAAATTATTTAGGGATTGGGATTGGGATACCGAAATTATTTAGGGATTGGGATTGATTTTAGGGTGTAATTTGGTATTCGGGATTTCGGTATTTGGTATTGGGATACCGATACCGTACCGATTTCCACCCCTAGTTGGGATGGCTGAACGATATGGTGGCGGTGGTGGATGCAAAGAGAAGAGAGAGTTAGAGACTTAGGGTGACGGTGGTGGATTGATAAAATTTATTTTTACCTTTTTTACTTTATTTTATTAATTTTATTTTTCACATGTCATCCACGTCAGCATAGCATGCTGATTCACTAACGGTCAATGATGCTGACAGTCTAATTTAACGAAAACTCACGAGTCGGGCCAAATTAGTCTATATGATGTATAGTTGAGGCCAGAATAGCAATTTCTTAAAGCACGGGCCAAAGTTGATTACTTGCGTATAGTTCGGGCCAAAATAAAGTATCAACCCTTGAATTTAACCTCTAACGTTGTATTAGAGGAGAACTGGGTATCCCACAATCAGAAATTATATGGACTTTAAACCCATCCCTTTCATAGACTTGACTACAAAGTCTCTAGCTAATCCTTTGTCAAATGATCGACTAAATTCTCTTGAGTCCTGACATACTGTATAGACACAAATCCGTGATTGATCAATTACTATGTCTAACTCCCAAATGGCGAGACATGCCATGATACACTTTACTATATAGTATATACCTTAGCCAAAATAGCATTACTATCACAAAAGGATATAAATTGGTGAGATTAGTTTAACCTATAAAGAAATTAGCACCCAATAACCTTGGAGTAGTCCAATTGTGAAACTGATTGCCCAGTATTAGGCAAAAGTTTCATACTTGGATCCACTAGAGTTTTTAATTCACGATGACTTTCACAATAAAATTTAGCAAGCACCTTCCCAATATAATGAGATTGAGACAAGACTACTTTTTTGCCGTTTCGCTTGATTTTGATACCCAAAATCACATCGGCCTCCCATGTCCTTCATATAAAATTTAGATGACAAAAACTCATTACTCATAAACACTTTTAATTGGTTCTGGTTACAAGTGTTTTAATCATTTGAACAATCTCTAGTGAAAAGTTAAAAAAATCGAGGGACTCATTTAAATTAGACTAGGGACTCTAATTAGCATCCAATCATGTGGTTAAACGAAGAAAGAAAGAAAAACTTAGGGGTCGTTTGGATGTGGAAATTTGAAAACGTTGGAATTTGTCTGAATTTCCATGTTTTACAAAACCAAGGAATTGACTTGTGGAAATAGAAAAAAATTCATGTTTGGATAGGGTTTAGTTTTGTGGGAATTAATGGTGTGGAATTGGGAAAAAATAAGAAAACGTGGTAATGTCAAATCACTAGGGGGAGGTGTAGTATTCTCAATTACCATGAATGTGGTAATTGAAGCCAATTTCCATGGTCCAATTCCCATACTCTTTTTGCTCTTCCAAACGTGAATTTTTAACCCAATTACTGCATTATGTGGTAATTGGATCAAATTACTGTATTAAATTACCACATCCAAACGACCCCTTAATAAAATTCACAAGTTGATAATGTGGAAGATCTCACACACACAAGCTCTGCTCTCTCCTCCCTGTCCCACTAAGGTTATTTATGATTGGGTATTGATGATTATTAATAAGTAAACGAGATCTAATACAAAATGAATAAATTATTTGATAGGACGCATCCGCCATCATCAATCTCCATTCTCCAATCTCCATCCATCTCCCACCGTTTCCCTTCTTTTCCTGCTCTCTCTTCCCCAGTTCCCCTGCTTTACTTGCTCCATCAGCGATATAATATTAATTCTGTTCGGGCATGGCGGTCCTCAACACCTGACCCACCAACCTCACTCTCTCTCTCTCTCTCTCTGCCTGTATTCATCTTCCCTATTCATACAGTCACTGCGTGGGGCAGTCGGTACATAACTTTGCAGCATTATATGTGCATATGAGCTTTGACTTGTATACTCTTTAGACAGCAGCTTTCCAACTCGACGAGAGAAGAAATTACTTGAGGAAAATGGAGAGATACGAGCTAGTGAAGGATTTGGGAGCTGGTAATTTCGGGGTGGCGAGGCTGTTGCGGCATAAGGAAACCAGAGAGCTTGTTGCCATGAAATACATCGAGCGAGGTCACAAGGTTTGCTTGCTGCTCTCTAATTTTTCCTGCAAGTTCAAAAATCCGATCTTCGGTTCTTTTCTTCTTCTTAATTCGGTGTCTGGTATATTGATTGCCAACAGATAGATGAGAATGTGGCCAGGGAGATTATCAATCACAGATCGCTCAGGCACCCTAATATCATCCGCTTCAAGGAGGCAAGTTCTTGACAAACAAACTGATCAGAGTCCTCAATCAAATCTTCCAGTACTGTTGATTTCTCAAGAAGTGCTCTTCAATTTTCTTTGCAGGTTGTTCTGACTCCAACCCATTTGGCAATTGTGATGGAGTATGCTGCTGGTGGGGAGCTCTTTGAGCGCATCTGCAGCGCTGGCAGATTCAGTGAAGATGAGGTCCTTCTTTTTTCCTCCTTCCCCCTTAGATCTGCTAGATTCGGTCTTCCACTTGCTTCTGCCCATTACCTGTAGTTTGATGCACTTGTTGTTCTCAGGCTAGATACTTCTTTCAACAGCTGATCTCTGGTGTTGATTTCTGCCACTTCATGGTAACCAAAACAAAAGAGCAAATTTCTTATTAATCACCAACTATTTTTGGCTTTCTCTGCTGAATGAAGACATACAGTTGTTTACATACCCACCTTCTCCTGTTTTGACAGCAAATCTGCCACAGAGATTTGAAGCTGGAAAACACGCTTCTTGATGGAAGCCCTGCACCTCGCTTGAAGATTTGTGATTTTGGATATTCCAAGGTTTCATTTTTTTGAAGTTTTGCTTTCTTGATCTTCACCCCTTATCTTATTGGTGCATTTGTTATGTGATTATTGATTCCACGGTTTGGTGGTACATGATGTGCAGTCATCTTTGCTGCACTCAAGGCCCAAATCGACGGTGGGAACTCCAGCATACATAGCGCCGGAGGTTCTAAACCGCAGAGAATACGACGGCAAGGTAAAGGACAATTACGTTACATAGGATCGACCTATACTTCTTCATTGATTCGAACACGTAACCCACCTGCTACTGAAATATAAATCTATTAAAATAGTAGGGTGTGATGGTGTTCATCAATTCACCGTTGGCTGGTTTCGGTTGTAGTAATTGGTTTGTTTTGTTTATAGTTGAGAAATTTGTCATTTTCAAGGGTCCTCGAAACATTTTTTTTTTTTAAGTATTGGGGTAAGAGATGTAGTGATCTCTCCTTGTGGGCAAACCCATGAATCAAGGACCGGCCAAAGCTGGCTGCACATGCCATACGCTGGTGTTAGATGTGCAAAACTGTTTGCTTTTTGGACACTTCACTTTGGTCCTCGAGGGTCTTGAGTACTTTCTACTCCTCACCATGTTGTCAATGGTTTCTTTATTGATATCTTAGCTTTCTGGATCTTCCACTCTAAGACTAGTTTAATTGAAGATTGAGAAAACGATAGAGAAATCAGTTGTTACCTATAGGTTTGACCTTTACCACATACACAAGATGGTGGTGATTGGTGATGACCTGGCCTACTCTCAGTCCCGGTAAATATCGAATGAGCTTTTGCATAGGGGAGGAGGAGCTGTGGTTCCTTATTGCAAGTGAATGTAGATATCAAGTGTGTTATGTTTACTTCACTTCTATGTATGTGATATGCCATGACACTCAGTTCTAGTTATTTTTGCATTGTTCAGTTGGCAGATGTGTGGTCCTGTGGAGTTACTCTCTATGTGATGCTTGTGGGAGCATACCCTTTTGAAGACCAAGATGACCCCAAGAACTTCCGCAAAACAATCCAGGTGAACGATTCTCACGCGTAGATCTTCCTTTTCATACACGAAAAGGCGACGCCAAGTAGGCAAAGCCCTTTACTTGTTGCTGTTGTCGCCATGTTTTCATGCTTGCTTTACGTTTGCAGAAAATAATGGCTGTGCAGTACAAGATCCCCGACTATGTGCACATATCTCAAGAGTGCAGACACCTGCTGTCTCGCATATTTGTTGCAAATCCACTGAAGGTAATGCAGTAGATATGACATCAAGTAGCGCGCTCACCAATTGTTTTGTCAGTCGATCAATAATGCGTCTGGTGTTTTCATCTCCATGGCAGAGAATCTCCATAAAGGATATAAAAAGTCATCCCTGGTTCTTGAAGAACTTACCGAAAGAGCTGTCCGAGTCAGCTCAATCCATGTACTACAAGAGAGGGGATGATCCGAGGTTCCGTGTTCAAAGCGTGGAGGACATTATGAAAATCGTGACCGAGGCACGGCAGAAGCCTACATCAACAACCCCTGTCAAGGGCTTCGGGTGGGGTAGAGAGGAAGATGAAGAGGAAGACATAGATGGAGAGGTAGAGGAAGAAGAAGATGAAGACGAAGAAGAGGACGAATATGATAAAAGAGTAAAGGAAGTTCATGCTAGTGGGGAGTTTCAAATCAAGTGACAAATTCTATACATAGAAGCGAAAACAGAAGAAAAACATGTGTTAAAACTTTTGTACGATTAAACTCTTTTAGGTACATGAGGATATGGATGCTGTAGTAATTTGTCTACCTTCTAAAACTTATTCAGTTTATTGCATACAGTTAGTAAACTTGTCCAATAGCAGCTGCTACTGAATTTCGAGTGTTCTTATATGTTGTAACAAACTCTTAATTTCCAATATTTGTCTACGAATCTGTGTCCTTTTGCTTCTTCCTCTCTGTTTTTAGGCTTTAACAGGTTTCTCAAAATAGTTTTTAGTTGGTTTGTTTCATAGATTTTGATAGAAACCTGAATTTTTGCGATTTAAGTATTTGGACAATTTCGTCAATTTATTATTCTTTATAACTTTGTTGGGAATGATCGCGGTCCTTTGCGGCGATATAATAATTTGGAGTAGTTTTTGGAAATTTGCAGATTATATAAGTATGATGTAAGTGGGGATTATCTCACTAACAATGACTGAACCTAATTGAGATTTCCTAAACTCTCTCATCTCTCCCTCTCTCTGCCGCAACTCTTCTTTGCTTTTCCCTCCCTTTTATAATGGGTAAATGACACATTTGGTCACTGAGATTATTAAATTGTGTCATGTTTAGTCACTAGAAAAAATTAATATCAATTTTGGTCACTCGAATTACCGAAACTGGTCAAATTTAGTCACTCTCCCATCAGTTTCCGTCCAACTCCATTAATGTAGTTGGACAGAAACTTTTGGGAGAGTGACTAAATGTGACATGTTTCAGTAATACGAGTGACTAAATGTGACATTTTTCAATAATTCGAGTGACCGGAGTTGGACAGAGGCTACAGAAGAGTGACTAAATGTGACCTGTGTCAGTAATTCGAGTGACCAAAATTGATATTAAATTTTTCTAGTGACTAAATATGACACGATTTAGTAATCTCAGTGACCAAATGTGTCATTTACCCCTTTTATAATTCATTCTCAATTTCCCTCTTTCTTTAATAGAAAGATCAATTTCTAATTAATACTCCCTAATTTCCAATCCCTAGATAAAGCCAACTCCTTGGTTTTACCATTTGGTATCAGAGCCTGGTTTCGAGATTAAGTCCAAAGCGACTCTAAACCGGAGACTATCGAAGGCTAGCAATGGCAGTCACCATGTCGAAGACGGCGACGGGAAGACCTGACAGACATAAAGGTGTTACGTGCCAATGCGGACCAAATGAAGAAGGAGATCGCGGAATCGACAGAAGGTTAGACGACGCTGTGCAAGGAGGTAAGGGAGCTCCGAGCGGTGGTGATGGACCTGGTCAAAACAATGACTCGGCCACGAACAGGGAACACGAGGACGAGTTGAGTGAGATTCTGGTCTCGAGATTAGCGAGAGACGGAGATGATCCCGGCGAGTGATGGGACGGGTGAGAAGCGCGACGGAGACGACAGGGTAGACGCTGCGTCTGGCGGTGGCGCGGGGCAGGAATAGTCGCGACAGCGCCGACGAGAGGCGCAACTGAGGTTGGAAGGGCGGCAACGGCTGACCTAGGACGAGGAGCCACAGATCGTGCGGGCCGCGTCTCATTTGGGCCTCGAGATGGGCCTGGGTTGCTGCTGACTCCGACAACCTAGAAGATAGCTGCTATGCGTGGCAAGGCCAAGCTGCCAGACTACGATAATGTGATCCAGAATCTGGGCTTTGGGTTGCTGGACACGATGGTGGGAGAAGAAGAGGTCGGGCGCGTGGGCAGTTACCCTAGGTCGGCTCAAGAGGAAGATGGAGTGAGCTTAATGGGTCGGGCTGGTGTGAGCTGAGCCAGAGAGCTGACCCTTTCAATCGGGTTCGAACCGATCCAACATGATCGAATTAAAATTGGTTGAACCAGGTTCAACCCAAATCGACTCAAACAACCACCAATAGGGGCAAGCAGCAAGGGGTCTGCAAGCTAGAGAGGACCACAAGGAGAGATGGGTGCACTTAAACCTCCTTTCACGACTCAAGCTACAGGCGTCCATTGGGCAGTGAGTGGGATGGAGGACAAGGACCTCGGGCTGGACCGGAGGGGTATGTGAATTACCCAAAGAAAGAAGAGGAGGCATGGGGCAGAGACATAGATCTGTGGATCCCTCTTTACCATCGTGAGGGGACTCTAGACATTGGCAGGTTGGTAGGCATTATCATAGCTATGATGGAGATGATGATCTTGTGTTTAGGGTCAAACCCCCAACCAATGAATTTGCAAAATTCAATGGTCAGGAGGATGCATGTCTCTAGTTGTATGTAGCTGATAGGTGGTTCAAGAACCATACTACGAGGAAAGAGCGGAAGGCGCATCTGGTGTCATTTTACTTGGAGGGGATGCTCTGCAATGGTGAGAGCGGTTGGAGAGGTCCTACTCTATGGCTGAGACCTTGATTACATGGCCAAGGATCTAGGAAGAGCTTCAGTACCAATTTGGCAAGTCAGAAAGTTGGACCCCAGAGCATTTTGCTAAGTTGAGACAGACGGGGACAATGGCTGAATATTGGGGTGACTTTCTCAAGTTGGGCAACCAGTGCAAAGGGGTGCACGAGGAGACGCTAGTGGGATTGTGTATGGCGCGTCTTAGGCCGGAGATCGCTGCCATGGTCAAAGTCTTTAAGCCGGATTCCTTGAGAACTGCTTTCCGTCTTGCAGGTCGCAAGGAGGAGGAGATAACGAGATGGATAAGCCCCATAGGCTGCTACCAGTGGTGGAGGCGCAATCGGCAGGGGAAGGCGCATGCACTCGAGAGACCGCGGAAGCGACATCGGCGATGGCTCGACCTTGACCTGGGGCGCCACCAAAGGGATTCGTCAGGTTGTCTCCGGCCGAGGTCGAGGTAAAGAGGTGGGGAGGCAAGTGCTTCAACTATAACGAGGTTCACGTTCGACCATCAGTGTGCGAATCGAGCTAATGATGTTAGTGGGTTGTTGGGAGGACGAGGCTGAGGATGAGGTGACAGAAGGTAGGGAAGAGAACTAGAAAGTTGGAGTTCAACCTTGATGTCAAGGTTGTTATCAAGGAGGCGTGGATGATAGAATCCTGAATTTCTGCGATTTAAGTAGTTGGACCATTTTGTCATTTTATTATTCATTATGACTTCGTTGGGAATTATTGGAGGTTCCTTGCAGAGATTTAATAATTTGGGGTAGTATTTGAAATTTTTTGGATTATATAAATATTTGGTAAGTGGGGTTTATCTCACTAATTATGATTGAACCTAATTGATTTCCTAAACCCTCTCCTCTTTCCTTCCCTCTGCCACACCTTCCCTCCCTTCCTCTAGCTACTACCACAACTCTTATTTTTCTGTTCCCTCCCTTCTACAATCCATTCTCAATTTTCCTCTTTTTTTTTTTTTTTTTGTCAATAGGAAGATCAATCCCTAATTGATCCCCCAATTTTCAATCCCTAGATAGAACAAACTCCTTAGTTCTATAAAATATGCCATCATGCTCTTTCTTTATCAATAGGAAGATCAATCCCTAGTTGATCCTCTCCAATTTCCAATCCCTAGATAGAAAAAACTCCTTAGTTCTATAAGATATGTCATCATGGAATTCTGTCAAAAATTAGTTCATTGTTTCAAATTTGCTTTTGCTTCAAAATAAAAGATGAATTTGGGGTATGGAAGATTATTAAGGTCGATGGATGATATAAGCAAAAAAACATAAGAACACAATGACTCAACGTTGTGGTTTTGAATGACTTTATGATGTAGTAATCGGACGGGATCGGCATCTCCGACAAGGGAATTAGCTGAAAGAAAGGGAGGGAGGTGACAAGAGAAAGAGAACTAAGCATAATTGTTTATTTGATCTTTAATATTATTTTCTTTGACAATTGTCGATGATATAGTTAAAGTACATTTTACAATCCCGCCCACTATTTTCTATTCTATTACAAGTATGTTTCTGCTATCATATGGTTGGGTCATTACAATTCTCACCCGCTCGAGAACATGCCTGTCGGCAAGCCTTGTGAAAGTAGCAAAATGAAAGGAACAAGCTACAACAAACCGTGCACAAGCAAAAGCAATATAACTGTGAAAAAATGTCCTCTCTTGCACTTTCCTTAAATTACATGCTTCATATTGCTATCATTTTGAGGACTAATACTTAATTCAGTATAAACATAATTTCACAAAAGAAAAAAAGAAATAAGTTTGTTTTCACTAGGTACAACTAGAAATTCCTATTTAATTGAATTGACCGTAGATTAATTCTGCTTTTATTGTGGAGTATTGAAAAGTTTCAAGAAATTAGCAATACAACCTCTCGCAAATGAAGAAAAAGTGACGGAAGAAAATTTTGGTGAATCGGCAAAGAAAGAAAGGAAAGACTCCAAACAATTAACAACGAAGCTGTTGGAACTCAAGAGGTTAAAAAGGAGTTGAAGAAGACAAATGAAGGGCGCGAATGGTGTATGAAAGTAGTGCTTTGTGTAAAGAAAAGAGCTATAGTGTCTCAACAATTAGAGTGTAGTTAGCGTGAGAGAGGTTGTTGTTGTACTCTTCTTAGTCCAAGTAATTTGTGGTTGGAAGAGAGAGAGAGTTTAGCACTTGATCATAGGTTTGTGTATAAGGTTTGATCTTCACCTTGTATGGAGATCACTTGAGTAAGATCAGTAATAAAAAATAATTAGAAATAGGTTCCAAGGAACGATTTGAGTGGAGAGTAGAAGATCAGTAATAAAAAATAATTAGAAATAGGTTCCAAGGAACGATTTGAGTGGAGAGTAGACACAGTCCAACTTCGTCAACATATCAATGTGTACTTTATTTTTGTGCAATTTATTTGTGTTTATGAGTTAACACTTGTCGGTGACATATCTCCGGTAGGATTGAAATTGGTGCAGGTGCGGTTATCCGTCCCACGTTTTGTAGGTAACCACGTGGTTAAGTCATGATTATGCTAACCACAAACCACATCGCAGCGTATAGTGGTTACCCACTACCCACTGCAGGTTGGTGCGGTTTGGTTGTGTTACTTGCAAATTTCATTTTTCAAGGTTTGAAGTGTTGTGGCCACCACCAACAAATCTTTATATAATCCACCTGAATATAAAGATGTATTCTTGTGTTGTTTGTGGAGATGAAAATTATTTGATATTCGAGTTGTCGTTATAATTTTGTGGATTTTGTTGTTAGCCTAACGTTAGCAATAAGACAAAATGTTGTTAGGCTAACGTAGTTATAGTGGATTTTGTTGTATAATTTTGTGGTGAGTAGTAGTGATGTAATTCCTCCGACCATAAGGGACCTAAATTCCCAACCAGGGATCAATAGTGTGAGACCGGGGAATAGGAACAGAAGAGCCCCGATCAGGTGGCTATTAATCCGCGATTAGGGATCTGAGGGTGTGCGACAGGGTATTGGGCACCGACAAGTTCAAATTAGCTTTTGTGTTTATGATCCTTTTCCTTTTTGGGGTTGTGGTTAGTTTTTATTTCTTTGGCATATTTAAAGGCTTGGACTGGAGTTTTTGATCGAAATTGAAAATTATTGAATTTATTCTTGGTTCGTTGAGCTTTAGCTTGTGAATTGTGCTTTGTACCAATCGAGTATTTCCCTTGATTGTAGTCGAGCTTCTACCCTATAATGATATAGCCTTCTCCCAGGTGTGATATTGCGGTTCAATTATCTTTTATCCCCTAAAACTAATCATGTTCTTGGTTCTGCAATTTTGATATGTACGTGCCCTGATTCCATGCTCGTATCAAGTGGTATCAAAGTTCCGGTTCAACACAGTAGCAAGAACGAAATCAAGAGGGCATGGTGCTTCTCGTATGAGATCCAAAGTCCCCATGGCAAACCGCGTAGTAGAGGAGGATTCTTTGTCAGAGGAAGAACTCTCCCGAAGAACAAACAATGGTGGAACAACAGATTAATGTTTAAGAATTACTGCAGACCATCATTGTGTAATTGAACGCAACCTTCCAAGTTCAATTCGACCAGATTAACAAGCGGCTTGGCACTCTTTCGCCGTCGGCAAACAACACTATTCCGGAGGGAAATCGACAGCAAGACGTTCCAACTGGAATCGACCAAGCCCTAGATGAAAGACTTCACAACTTGGAGCAGAGGTTGGTGAAGGTAATTTGCAATTACCTATGGTGAAGAAACATGACTAATGATGCAACCCACAATGTCTCAAGCAAAACAAAAATAATGAAGTCAAATAAATGGAAGAGGAACGACTTAGTTGAGAACTCATATCAATGTCAATTCCATCTGTTAGAAAGAAGAACCAAAATCAAATAATGCAAGAGACAATGAGATTAATACACGAAAATAAGTCATATGGGCCAATGGTCAATTATCTTCCCAAACACAACCACATGCACAGACGCGGGATGGAGAAGAAGTGATGATGGTGTCATTTAATTTAGTTCTATCTTTCGTACAATTATTATGTATTTCCATTATATATTCTGCAAGTATGGGGAGGAAGAAGTGTGGAGAGAGTGTATAGACTTATGTTACCTAATTCGTGGGTTTAGTCCCAGCGCTCCCGCTTTGGAGCGACAAATCGCGGATTTGAGACGGAGCGCAATAAATTTGAGGATTTCTTTTCTTAAGAGCGCGAACTTTGTGGGAGAGAACGTGAATTGTGTATTTTCCTTGATTGTTGTCGAGCTTCTACCCTATATTGATAGAGCCTTCTCCCAAGTGTGAGATTGCACTTCAATTCTGTTTTATCTATGAAAATTAACCCTGTTCTTGGCTGTACAACTTTGATAACTATGCGCACCGGCTTTGTGCTCGTATCAAATAGATCAAACAACAGTGTTAGTCTAATATGATTATAAAAGGTTTTGTGGGTTAACGGTCAAAATTCATTATTTTACTAACCACACCCAATCTTCTTTGCTTCCTTGGTGAGATTTGAGCTTGATACACCCACCTCCATGGCTTTCTCTCACCAGAAACTCACTTGTTCGCCGTTTTCTCTCAAATGGCCAAACTCCCTTTGGAAAATATGCGTCCTCTTTCTCTAAAATCCATTGCAATTCGAAAAACACGACCTAGATCCAGAATTCCACGGTGACAATATATAATATCTGAAGTCACAAACTTCAGAAAATAACATATGGTGTCTGTGGTGATACAACATGCCATCATAAAGAACGTTTGGACCCTTTTCATCACCCCTAAAAATCCAATTTACAGTAAAGAATGCACCGAAAGTCCCCTATTCCCAGCTTAGCTAAATAGGTTCTCAGATAGTAATGTAGGCAATGTTAGTCATTGCAGGAACAAAATTCATATGATACAGACATATTTGTGCTCTCTGGGTTTTCAGCGAACCAAAGGTAAGATGCCCCACTGATGCAGAAAGCCCTGTCCTGTAGTGACTTCCAAGACCAGCAGAACCAGCACAGCCAACATGGCTGCTCTTCCATTCCATGTCTCTGCACTTTTTGTCCAACCCCATTCCCACACCGTCACAGGTGGTGGTAGCTCCCTCCGTTTTGAATCATATGCTGCCAATAACTCTTCCACACTGCCCAGTGGAACCAAGGACTGCCAAGCAAAAGTTTAAATTCGTCAATCAATATCCTCTTTGATGGAATTGAGAAACATGGATCAGATACAAAACTTGAACATCCATGCCCAGGTTTTCAAATCAGAATAATAAAGGAATGAAACCTGTCTAGCTTCAAGATTAGAGACTGCCATAGCTCCAACATAGGGAAGGCTCTCAATCACAGCATCTGCCAAGTCTGAAATGAAGGTTGGTTCGCATCCCAGTGCTGGAACACGCCCCCATTTTTCTATCCCAGACTCAAGAGCCAACTCTTTATACTCAACGTCGATTTCTTCCAGAGTCTCAATGTGTTCACTAACAAAGCTGAGATTTGAACACCAAATTTAGTGAGGTTTCACTGTCAGCAAGCCATATCTAGACATCACTTGACAAAATCAATCTTAAGTAGCTGTCTTGGTCAGTTCAAGCAAAGAGAAATCCTGATTAACACAACATTATTGACCTTATTGGGACAGCAAGAAGACTTTTGACCCCTTTTCTCCCGAGATCAATGATGGTCTCATCAGTGTAAGGTTTAAGCCACTCCACAGGACCTACTCTGCTCTGGAGAAACATCAAAACTATCCAGTGACTCGCCATCCAAATAGTAATAGAGATAAAACCACAAAAAAAAAGTAAGAAAAAGAAAATATATGTTCATATGCTGCAGCTTGTTAGCTAGTTAAGCATCTTCGAGTCATCATCTGAGGTCTCATCCTCCCATATAGATGAAACTACTATAATTCTCACGTTGTTAAACCAAGGTATTGACTTAATAATTCAATGCAAATGCAGCAACTATGACAAATTGAATCTAGGACTAAGAAGTGATGATAAGCACAAGAGTAGAAACCACATCATATGCTTACTTGAAGTTGTGAATTAAAAAGTCTTTAGTGGGATCGAGTTTTCAATTACGAAGTTGGACCAATCCCATTTTAATAGATAAGTCATTTATTGGCATGCTGATTTTGCTGAGATCCACATAAAAAAGAAAAGTTATTGCACTTGCACGTACGTTCAGGATTCATTGACTTAGCCAAATACAGTTTCAGGACACGCTTTCTGCATTACTCTAGAAGTTTGCAAGTTTAGAATGAAAAAAGAATATATATATTATTAGAAGTTTAAGCCCCAAAAGTATCTAAAGCACCTGATAAGCAAGAGTATATGGGCTAGTGATTTGTCTCTTCTCTAATTCATCCATTATCAAATCCACACATTCCTCCATTTCTGCCTTGTATGGATCACCAGCCTCTTCAACATATGCTATAGGCACTCCATGAGCGCTGAAAAATATTACAACCTGCAATGCAAATTTTAGAATTCATCGCTGCACCCTCTATGAGGACAGAAACACAAAGCTTCAAGCTTAATACAGATGCAAAATAAGAAAGATATTAGAAAAGCACATATAAATAATCCCATTGTTTTTCAAGGGGGCAATCACATGTATATATTCTTTAAAGCATGAAACTTAAAGGTGAGACTAATTTTTCTAAACTGCAACGAAGTTACTATAAATTACTTGCAGTCATCCGCTCAAGTATATTGAAAACTACTGGAGATAAGAAATGTAGTCTTGTTTAAGGATTTTTACAACCAAGTACAAAAAAAGGTTTTGAGGTCAAAACAACATCGAACTGAATCTAAGCTTTCCAAATAACATTTATCTGCCCACCAATTCAGAAACTTTTTCTTCTTTGAAAAAGAGAAAGCGGGGGGAGAAAATCTAGCCATGTGAAGCAATTAACCAACAAAACCAATGGCTTAGGGAATATGAGCATATTATATTTCTATGGATTGAACATCTTAAGAAAGAACTACCTTATCAGGAGTTTCAAATTTTAGTACTTCCTTCTCAATTAGATTGGCCATGGCAGTAATGTATCCTTCACGCTGGTACCAGGACGGTATCACTGTATGCTGCATGTTCACTAGATACTCATCTTCCCTGAAAAAGTTGAGGAAATTATCAACTTCACACTCACTTACAGAGCAACCCATATTGACGTAATCAAATAAATGACAATCACCGGAATATACTCTCCAAGAGTCGCAGGCTGGAGCCACTAGTTGATATTGAAAACTGTGGATATAACGGAAGCACAACAAGTTTTGTAATACCATCCCTCTTTATCTGCAAACGTTTCAAGCAAAATAAACTTAGCAAAGAGCAAGCTGGTACGCAAATCAACAGAAGGTACTGGGAGGCAACCACAACCAAAGGGTTACTGTCCCCTTGATCATTTCAATGGAAACAGAGTTGATGGCACAGCTTGAATTATAGTAATACAGAATTCTCTGAGTAGCGGAGGAAAAGGAATTCAACCACGAAACATAAGAGGGACCTTGACTTTTGACAGTACCTGAAGCACTTAGAAGGTTAAGACAACCATACGTTCAAAATAAACTGATGCATAGGCACAAAAGCACCAGAGTTATGAAGCTCCGTAAAGAAAATTCACACAATAACTGAGAGTTCATGATGACAAAAGAAACCCCAAGAGAAATCTCATAAACCTGATTTCATAAATGCCATTGGAGATTAGTGTACAACAAACCTGTTCTATTGCTTCCTCGGTGAATGGATGCCAGTAACGCATGCCAACATACACTTTTGCGGGAACATTCTTTTCCCAAAGGGACTTTTTCAATGCTTCTGCCTGAATTGAGGAGAAAATAGCCACTCAGGAGAGGTTTCAACTTTCAAGTATCGACAAAAAGACCAATCATAAACAACTAATCTAAGGAGGAAAACAAAACGTTTGTAGGAAGGGTAAGCTCGCAAGCTTAAGCGAGTGCATCAAACAGTTCAACATGCTTCAGCTAACTTAAGTCTCTAAGAAGCTCCACATTAGCCAACATAGCAACACATTGCAATCTACTTAAAGTGCTGTCGGGGAAGAGTGGGGTATGCGACTGATATAGAGATAAAAACAACATGCCTGAGCATCAGTTATCTGCCGCAGGGGTGATCCACCACCAATGGAAGCGTAGCCTTCTTTACTCTTGGGCGCTCTAACAACTGATATGAACTGGGCCAGAGGCTTTTGCAGAAAACGAAACGACCTTGGGAGTCGAATGATGTCCTAATGATAAAGCAGACGACATGGTAAGTAATGTGGCATATTCAATACTTAAACAATAATCACTCAGTAAAACCCAACATGCCATAGTGAGTAGACTAATCAAGATTATTCAGAAACAGCAGAAGTTAATCCGCCGTATGTACTTTTTATGCCCGAGAATGTTGTCAAATAAAAATGGAAGCGCAGAGGGAGAGACATAATCTTACAGGGTCGGCAAAGAGGTTAAATAGGAAAGGCTGCACGTCATCAAGAGTCTCTGGACCTCCAAGATTCAGCAACAAAACTCCCACCTTCTCGTTGGCAATTAGAGATGTTATGGGAATATCTTGTGCCGTTGAGGTCACCAAAGCTCTCAAGGGCCAAGCACATTTATCATGTTGTTGCTGAGAGCATAAAGATTGTTCTCCAGACAATCTCAAAGAACACTTCGACCCGGCATGAGTTTTAGAGGGATAGAAATTAAGAGAAGCATCCACATGGAATGCAGAACAACACTGCAGCCTTAGAGATGATGAAATTGGCCGTGGCAGTAGCCTGCGATAAAAAGGAGCAGTGATCAGTTCCAATCAAAAGATCAATCATTTAAGCGTAACGGGGACATAAATTATATCTTAATCCGGCGACTTGACCAAGAAAAGCCATGAACGTGCGGAAGAAAGGTTGTTTAATCTAAAAGGACATTAGTTAAGTGTTATTATATTTCAAGAACCTCAAGAAAAGAATATTAAAATACAGAGAAAAGAACATCAAGTGTTTCAGTAACCAGAGAAATCCTGACCAAAAGCTACATCAAATTCTATTATCAAATTACAGAGCAAAGATGATTACATTTTTTTAATATTAGGTCATTTTCTGGAAGACCCATTTCAGGCAAGAACATAAAAGCAACGAAAGCAGCTTTCCGAATGCAAATCGCTCGCCGACTGAAAGAGGAGCAGCCGACAAAAAAGGGAGAGGAGACTCACATGGGTAATCTGGAGTTCCGATGAGTCAAAGCAGCAGTAGCTGTAGATGTGGAAGAAGGGGAAGCTGAGGAAGGAGAAGAGACGGAGTACATTAATCCAGAATTCATTGAGAGATAGCTCCCCCCAAGTTCAGTTAAAGAAGAAAGTGAGTAACTCAGATGCAGGAACGAGCATCTAATATTGGAGCAGGTAAAGAGAGAGGTTTCAAGGGATGGGTTCCCTTTGCTTTCGTCTTCGGGTTCCTGTTTCCATGGAGGAGAGTAAGGTACAGCCGAGGAGCAGAATTGATCTTTTCACTTCTAGTTCTAGAGCTGGGGGCTTTGGCTCCGAAGATTAATAAAGTAATGCGAAGAGACTAAAGAGAGCGACTTATCGCTACTCCTGAAAATTGGAAATGGCAGAAAAACGAACGCCACTTGGACTTAATCCATTCACATTTTGTCAATATATGACTATCTTTTGTAAAAAAAAAAAAAAAAAAAAATCCATTCACATTTTTGTCAGCCACCTACTCTTTTGCTCGTGCTACACCTGCTGCTAACCCCTTCAACATCTCATCTTGACCGGAAGTTGGGTATGTCAAGGTACTGTTCACTTACATTTTTTTCCTTTTTATATGTTTTCATTTCATAAATCTAGCAATGGAATTGAAAAAATCAATTTACTTCATTTTCAACTACTATGGAAGCTTTAATCGAGAGGACAGGTAGAGTATCGAAGGATGTTGAGTCTGATCCCGGTGATGACGGTGATGGGGCAGTTATTGATCCCAGGTGTCCGGTGTGTTGGGCGCCGTTGGAGACATTAGAGCATATGTTTCTCTCATGTCGGCTGGCAGTGGGGCTATGGGAGAGGTCAGGCTTGGAGACAGGATTGGTGAGGCAGCCTCCATTGAATTTTGCCTTGTTTCTTCGCAAATTCTTTGAACAGGAGACCAATGTAGAGAGGATAATTCGGTTTGTGGCATTGCTTTGGAGGATTTGGAAGAGTCGGAATTGGGTGGTGTTTGATCAGGTCCAGTATGGGATGAGTACACTGATGCGACAATTTGAGGAGCAAGTTCGTGAGTGGTTGGCTTTGGTCGAGTCTAGTGGTTGTAGTCAAGTCCAGGGGCAGCAGGTGCGTGGACAGGCTGGTGTGGATCGGGGGCCGCAGCCTGCTATGCCGTATCGCTGTTACGTGGATGGTGCTGTTCTCATTGGGTCGCATGGGGCTGGGGGGTTGGTTGTTTATGATGGGTTGAGGAGGGTGTGTTCTGTGCAAGGTTTTCGTTATGCAGGTTTGGAGGATCCTTTTCTGGTGGAATTGGTTGCGTTTCGTGATGCAATTCAGTGGTGCTCTTTGAAGGGTCTAGTTGAAGTGCAATTCTACGGGGATGCGAAGGTCGTCATTGAGAAAATTCAGAACAGGGATGCTCGGGATGTGAAGGGTGGACGGATTTTTGAAGAAATTCGGAAGCTATCATTACCTGCGCTTGGAGATGGCCTTTATTGGCAGGAGTAACAATCGGGTGGCCCATGAGGTGGCTAGGAAGACCCTTTCTTTGTTGCCTGCAGTTGTAGATACTTTTGATTTTGGTCGTTGGTTTGCTCTTGAGATGTAAACTTTACTAGCTTTTTACCTTGGTAATACAAATGATCTATTGGTAAAAAAAAGGGTTATAGGTAGAATATGCCCCTCTACTATGACGTTTTATCAAACATGCCCTTCTACTATTTTTTACATCAAATATGCCCCTGTACTTTGAAAAATTATCAAACATGCCCTTATGTTAAAATTTTCATTGAAAAAATCGTCAATCGTGGTTGAACCGAGATTTAGATGACCCGTCATCGGAAAATGGGAGGAAAAATGTCAGTTTTGTCCCCTGTTTTATTTCACTAGGTCTTTTCAAAGTGAAATTATTTGAATGATTTGATTATACAAAAGAACGAAAAAAATTCTAAAGTGAATTTATTATGGATATTTTAGTCATTTGTGTCGCCCAAACTAAAGTTCGGCCTTGGTTAACGGTTTTTGGATGAAAATTTTAACAAAAGGGCATGTTTGATCATTTTTACAAAGTACAGGGGCATGTTTGATGTAAAAAATAGTAGAGGGGCATGTTTGATAAAGCGTAATAGTAGAGGGGCATATTATACCTATAACCCTAAAAAAAATGATCTATTGGTAAAAAAAACTCTAGATAAAAAAAAGTGGTAGCTTTCTATCATTTTTTAAAACAACAAATATTGTTTCCACCAGTTTTCAACATCTGTTTTCTCATCATTTCAACGACAAAATTTTATCTTTTTATTAATGAGGTGCATACTCACAATTATTTTTTAATACTTTTAATTTAGTCCTTTACTTTTTTCTTTTTATTAGATATCATTTTCATCTTATACTATTTGAAACCAAATTAATCAATAACTCATTTTAATTCGAAATGAATTACTAAGTGAAATTCATTTTCAAATGAATTCCTATGTTCGGAATAATATCCCAAATTATGTTTGGAACACATTTATAATTGAATTAAATGAAAAACTTCCAAAATATACCCACTAAATTAGAACATGATGTGTATCCTGTACCAAGAACATGAGGTTCTTCGTGCTCTTTTAAAATAAAAGCAAGCACAGGTAGCGATTACCTGTTTTTGTTGTAGACAAAGAGACGGGATCCAATATTTTCAGAATCCTTATGTAAAGAATTACAAAAGAAATTGTGTATTCAAATCAGTCATGGGAAACCTGCACTAACTTCATGACATGGAGTTCGAAAAGTAATAGCGTTATCATTACTTAGCTTATTTAAAATTTACCATTGAAAATGAGTTCTTTTGTATTTCAAATTAAAAAAAAAAAATCCTTTCAATTTCAGGTTTTAAAGAAATTGCAGTTTCCTGATTCACCAAAAGTTCCACCTAAACATATTTTCAGTATCAGTTTTCATGAATCATTTCTCAGAAAATGACAGCTTTCTTTTCTTCATATTTCATTTTCTGTTGGCAAAATCACAGAAAACAGAATGAGAAGTGAATAGGGCCTAAAATTGTTGTTTTGTTTGGAATAGGGATTTCCTTAGTATGAGATTTGAGCTTAAAACCCACCTCCGAAAAATCTTGATTTTCTATATCTAGGTTTTTAGCCAAATATTTTGTTTGTTTTAAAACATATGTTTTAATTAAACAATCAAGTAAGAATTTTAGCCCTTTTGTTCTTCCTTTTGGTATCATCTTGTCCCCTTTACATTTGCAAAAACTAGACAACTTCTTTAGCCGACACGCCACTAACTCCGGCGTTGTTGTCACCCTCAGTCCGTTTCGAATACACACTAGAGGAACTGAGGAAGGAGAGAAGAAGACGACGACTTTGGCTCGTCATTGTAGAGGAAGAAGGGAAGAGCTCGAAACATGAGCTCGAATCTACATAATGGGGGTGATAAAAAAAAATGCAACAAAACTATTTTTTTTGTTTGTGAGGAAGCGGAGCGCTAAAGGGCGCCCCAACCTTTAATTAGAAGACGGAACCAATCGGGGCTGACTAACCCCAATCAAGTCGGGTTGGATCCGGTCCTTAAGGCTCATTGTTTAAGGAGGTTCTTAAACTATTTTTATTGGCTGATACTAGATTAGGTAGTTAATGATGGTTGATAGTTAATATTTAGTTTGAATAATTAAGATATTATAAAAATATATTTCATATTACTCATTAATGATTCTCTTTCTCTCTCTACCTTGATCTTCTCCATAACCCTCTCTCTCCACTATAATGAAAAGAAAATTCGAAATTAATTTAATTAATATTATTATTCAATATTTAATAAATTTGAACTTAATATTTTTTTAATTTATAAAATTAAAATTGAAAATAAAAAATATATGCTCTCTCACTTCGTGGCAACTTGCAATGCATTATTAAGATTTTGCAATGACATTATCAACATTTATGAAATGAATCGTTATTATTATACCTCATCACTATTAACGATTTCAATATACTTATCAATTCTGTACAATTACATTATTAACAATTTTGGATAAATTGTTACCGTTTTATAGTTTCGTCATCAACGCCTATGAATGAATCATTAAAGTTATGTAACATCGTCATTAACAATTTGAATAACAATATCATTGATTTACAACATCTTTAGTACTAATGATTCACATTTTCACATTTTCACATTTTCACATCATGTTTAAAACTATCTAGTCATGGTCTCTTTCAATGATTTCTAATGACATTATTAACGTTTTATGATGCACCTGTGGATTCAGTCAAACAAACATTGTCAAGAAAAATATTAGCTCAAGCAAACCAACAGTCACGCCTCAACACCAAACTTTTAATAACAATACAATAAATCATTGATAATGAAAAGTATTTCGTTTAAAATAAACACAAAACTTCAATATAATAATGTCCAACTTCAACATTATAAAATGACATCAAGCTTTTAATAAAGATATTAAAAATTGTTAATAACAAATGAGCAAGTTACTGATAAGGAAATAGATTTTTGTAATAAAAAATATTAGTAATATTCAAATTAATTATTTAATGTCAAATAGCACTAAAACACATTAATAACTAACATGTGTTTAATGGATAATGCAACCAAAAACTTTGATAATAATAGCAACTAATAATTGTTAAGTACCTTACTAGATATTATTAATATCTTATTTTTCAAACATTGATAATGCTTATACACACCCATTAATAATGACACCAACTACGTTACTAACTTAGCCTGAAAGGTTGATAACCATAGTTATATCATTAAACACAAATCACTTTTGCTAATATCATAAACAAACGAATACCTAACAAGTATGCTTCTTGATAATGACATTTGACAAAGTTACAAACATAAACGGAAAAATGTTAATAATACATATCAATGAAATAAATTGTTGCTAATGGTTATATTGTGCTTGCAAAAAACATTGATAATAGCACTTCAAATGATTATAAATTATTGCGACCAAATTGATAATACGATGTAATAGTAAATGAACTTCAAGTACTAACAAATTGAAAACACAATATCACTTTTGCTAATGTTACAAACAAAACATAAACATTATTAAAAAACCTGTCGAACAACATTAATAATAACACAAACGAATACCTAAAAATGAAAAATCCTAAACCCATGCAACGAAAAGCCCTAATGATGATTCAATTTATAAATATTGATAATGTCATTACAAAATGTTAATACTAAATTGCAAGTTGCCAAGATGTGAGGAGGCCATATATTTTAAATTTTGAATTTCCATTTTAGAAAAGGAAAACTATTAAATTCGGATTTCATTAAATATTAAATAAAATAAATTTTGTATTTTTTTATTATAACATAGAGAGAAGGTTATGGAGAAAATCATGGGAGGAGAGAGAAAGAGAATCATTAATTAATAATATTATTTATATTTGTATAACCCCATTTACTCTTAACTACCCGTGATGGGGCGAGGTCGACTGGGCCAACGGCGTGGCGGTTCCACCTCCCATCGTCCAGCGAAATCGGTGGTGAAGAGGCGGTGGAAACTTTTTTTTCTGTTCACTTTCCTCTTGGTAGGG